CAAAAAATCAAATGCCCCACACATATGCCGACCCCACCCCCTCTCTGGGGATTAACATTGAAAGAACCACCATTTCTCAAACTTTATCTGAATTAGTTGTAACATCATTACAAAATACTGTTAAAAAAAGGCCAAGTGGGCCTTCACTCCTATAAAGGGCATTCTATCCAATGGCATCAGACCAACATCTCCATGGCGTTGTTCTCCAAAGCATCGAGCAGTGTGATAAATCGGTTGTCTTTTTGACCAGCATGAAGTACAGACATAGCCTTGGCAACAAGTGGGAGAAAATTTTGAGGGACAAATTTAGCATCTAAACCAGGGTTAACTTTTACCAGCCATTTTTGAAACAGGTGCATGGATGAGTAGTTATTCTGGTTGTCGCTGGGTTAGTTTTGAAAATCCAGAAGTCATACCAATAACATAACCAGAAAGGTGAACAAGGTTTTGGTCACTCGATGGAGAGACAATCATAGCATCGGAGATATTGCAGATGTAGAAGTTACCTCCAAATTTAATGATGATGCTTAATTCTTGCAGACAAAATCATTGACAAAAATAGAATCCAGCCAAAATCACGAATCTCAAATCTAAAACATCAGACAAACAATAAATTTCACTTGTAAAATATTGTTACGGAAGGGCTTTAATTATTTGCACACTTTAACTGCAATATATACAATCCATAATATATCGAAACTTCTATAATATATCACACTTCTTTAGAAAAAAACGAGTAATAGCAGTTCATTATCGATCTGAGTGACAAGGCAACATATTTTACAGAGGGCTATATTCAACGGTGAATATCTCGAAAACGGTTGCGGGACCGAGGGGGGCCGGCCGGATAGAATTAAAGATTATACTTTTGTTTAACTAATCGTGAAAAAATAGCGAAATCGAACCGTGGAAATTTGAGATTTTTGTCTTCAAAGATTGTTGACAGAAACGCCATTAAATTACATCGCGACGGCATAGCGCCTAAAGTGAGAGGTCAAAATAAACTGGAAAATAACGCTTACCTTTCAAGATACCGTCCCAATGGGTAGATTCACTGTTGTAAAAGTAGTATCGCGTGAAATTTCCAAAAAAATGTGCATAACAATATGAAAAAAGTCGATATTTATGAGCCCTATGTAAATTTTGAATGCCAAAAGCTTCATGCGAGCATGAGGAAAATGGCGCAATCTGATTGGTCGAGAGATTCGCCCAGATTCGCCTAATTAGCTGTCCAACCTCCTCTGGCTCTCAACCAGTCGATCAACACAGGGATATGTAATGCCTGGCTCAAACTGCGTTTTTACGGATGTTCGACAAGTGAAAAATATAAACTTTCGTTATTTCGAATCACTACTGTAGCCTCCTCAGACAGCGACCATACGAAATCTTTGAAGTAAAATAAGCGAGAAGAATGACTTCGTTTAATATTAACACAGTTAAGAACGAGAGAATCGACGCCTGAGTTACAGAGGAGGATTGACGCTAACAATAATTATATTTGCGAGCTTCATTTTAAGTAAGAATGTATTTTAACAGGTGCGTATTTTCTGTGGAAAAGCATACATATCTTACAAATGTCTGTAATTATATGAACATACAGAGTGTGTTTTGCTCATTATTCATTTTTCTGAACAAATAAAAATTTACATCTTTCAGAAGTAAGGAAAACGTTGGTTACTGACAGCGTTCCACTGAAAGACTGCCGGATAGAAGCCATGAATTACCCAAAGGCGAGCGCCGAAAACTCGTGCGAAATGAGCGTGAAATTTCCCATGAATTCCGGTGTAAGACACGGCGACGACTTCAAAAGTGCAGTCTATCAAGGAACTGTAATATTTAACTTGCTAGCTGAGTATATTTGTTTGGTACCTTAAGATACAAAATTTAGAACATACACATTTTTTTATTCGATTGCATAAATGTGCTCAGTGGGCAGGCTATATATATATATATATATATATATATATATATATATATATATATATATATATATATATATATATATATATATATATATATATATATATATATATATATATATATATATATATATATATATTTATACCGCTTCTAGAATATATTCAAGTAAAAGCTTACAACACATGCGAATTGTTCTGCTTCATAAAGTTCATCATATTGATCTTTCATCTCACCAAGCGTTTGTAACTAAAATAAAATATATCTTAATAGGGTAGGGTAGAGGAGAGCATAGCAGAGCAGGGGAGGGGAGGGTAGGATAGGGTAGAGTAGGATAGGATAGGGTAGGGTAGGGTAGAACAGAATAGAATACGGTAGAGTAGGGTAGAGTAGAGCAGAATAGGGTAGGGTAGAGTAGGGTAGAGTAGGGTAGAGTAGGGTACAGTACAGCAGTGAAGCGAAGGTAATAGAGTATAGAGCACAGTAGGGTAGTGTAGTGTAGTGTAGTGTGGTGTCGTGTGGTGTCGTGTGGTGTCGTGCAGAGTGGAATCCAGCGAACGCATGGAATTAGCAAAGGTTGCATGTGGGAGTGCTGCAGAACAACCTGGGCACAGCCCGCTGGGCAAATACAAAATGTCATAAATAGACAAACCTCAGAAGCAGTGGGAATATCGTTCAATATCGATTCAATGGTGCTCGCCTCCAGATTTTCATCACAATTCAAAATCATCTTTTTAATATTTTCAAAAGATGTTTTCAGCGAACCTAAAATGATGGCTGAAAACAAAATACATTCAAATCATCACGTGATAGCACAAATTATGACGGAAGCATTAATATAGTTCAGAAAAAGTTCAGCCTCATAACTCACATAGATTTTGTGCTTTTTTTGGATTAAGAACTTTGAATGACTTGGCTTTCTTTTTACTTCCATCTTCAGTTTTTGCTGCTTTAGCAGCAAATGTTTTAGACAGAGCTTCAAATATCTCATCTCTTTCAAACCTGTCTTCTTTAATCTTCGCCCAAAATGAATTCTCTTTAATGTCAACGTTCCTGATCTGCGAGAGAAAACATAACCACATGTAATTAATGGTTGCTATGAACTCTTTCCCGACAACCGGTTTCGTATTACATTTCGATACAATTTTTCTAATATAAATATCTCGGCGAGTATTTACCCCCCTATTAAATAAATGCCACCATTGAAATCCTCACAATATAACCTTTCGAACGGGGGGTCAAGTGCCGTCAAAACATTACACAAACCGAAACAATCATATATTTACACTCACCGCTTCGCCAAACATTCAAACGAGAAAATTAGAAAAAGTTGAATATATTCTAAACTTTGGTGTCATTTCCTGAAAGGATATGTGTAAAATACTCTTTGTATTCAAGCGCTTTCGTGTAGAAAGTTTCGTATGTATACGCCGACTAGAAATATTTATTCTGAATTTTTCAAGGTATCGGGTTTTACTAGCACGCGCTTGTATTACGTAATACTTGGCCAATAAGGAGCTCCCTTTAGCCGGGATGACGTAAAACTCACGCGTATGGGTGTACTTTGACCTGTAGAATCCATTTCTGGCATTTCCAGAGTCACGCGATGCAAGCGTCGCATTGTTTTGACGAGTTTTCTTCGTATTTCCGGTTGGGATTAACGCATATTCGGAGCAGAAATACAAAATTCGGCACTAAATGTCGAATTTTAAAGATAGAAGCTTGAAAATAACACTATACGTGTTATTTTTAACTTCTTATTGCAGCAAGAACATCAGAATGAGCATACGTCTCAATGGAACGAAGTTATATTCGGCGAAAGGTATGTTTATGTTTATAATTGTCAGTAATATTGCGTAATTTGATCATATTTATTCATATACGAGCTCGTTTGACTTTCAAAGCTCATAAATCGCTATAATGTTGCCATTCACTAAATCTATCGATAGGAATGAGTAGCTATCGTTACACTGAA